ATGTAAAATTTTTCTTTTTCTCTCACTTAAAAAAAGACATGAGTATCTAAAGCAAAAATTATAGTAGCATACTATTGGACTTTAACATATAAAGATTATATATATCTGATCACAATAGCACAAAAAATAGCAGAAAGGGGAATGGAGTTATACAAATACAAAGTTTCTATATTTTGTTTGAAGTAAGTCAGTATTAACTTGAAATAGATTGTGATAAATAAAAGGTATATATTGTAATACTTAGGCAAAGCATAAAATAATGCAAAGAAATATAGCTAAAAAGTCAATACAAGGATTAAAATGGAATACTAAAACATTTGTTTAATAAGTACGAGAGTAATAGAAGTTCAAAAGAGTGAGAGAAAGATAAGACAAAAAGGAAAAATAGCAAAAGGCAGACATAACAATGAAGATGAACTAAAAATTCCAATCAAAAGACAGAAATTGTCAGACAGGAACAAAAGGAGATATGTTGTCTATAAGAGATCACTTTATGTTCAAAATCATAAAGAGCTTAAAGTAAAGGATAAAAAATATATATGATGCAAACATGTAACAATGATTAGAAGGGAGATGAGTGATTTTTATTAATGTGAGACAAAATAGGCTTTAAGACAATGAATATTACTAGAGATGAGGAATATTTCATAATGATAAGTGTCAATACAGTAGAAAGAAACAATACATTATTAATTTATTTGTATCTAAAAGAGAGCTCCAAAATACATGAAGAAAAAACTGACAGAATTGAAAGAAGAAATAGAAACACCAGTAATTACAGTTGAAGATTTCAATATTCTTCTCTCAGTAATTGATAGGACAAGTAAGCATAGAATCAGTAAGAACAGAAAATTTGAGGAGCACTATTAAACAGCGTGACCTAACTGACATCTGTAGAACACTTCACCCAACAATGGCAGGGTGTTTTCTGTTTTCAAATGTACACGGAATGTTTAAAAAAGTGAACTATATGCTGGATATTAAAGCAAGTGTCAATATATATTAAAAAATGACTATCATATGTAGCATGCTCTTTAATGACAATGGAAATAACTTAGAAATCTACAACAGACAAAATCTGAGAAATCGTAATATATGGGGAAACTAAACAACACATTACTAAATAACTTATGAGTCAAAGAAGGGGTCACAAGGGAAATTAGGAAATGTACTAAACCATGAAACTGTTTATTTTATATATAGTGGTTAGTATCTGCAAATCTTGAACTCCCAGTTTATCCCTTCCTACCCGCTTTCTCCTCTGGTAACTATAAGTTTGTCTTCTATGTCTGTGAGTCAGTTTCTGTTTTGTAAGTAAGTTCATTTGTGTCTCCTTTTTTTAACAGAGTCCACATATGAGTGATATTATGGTATTTTTATTTCTCTTTCTGGCTTACTTCACTTAGACTAATGATCTCCAGGTTCATCCATGTTGCTGCAAATGGCATTATTTTATCCTTTTTTATGGCTGAGTAGTATTCCATTGTATAAATAACCACAACTTCTTCACCCAGTCATCCAAATTAGATTTTGTTACTCTGCTAACCATCCTGAACTTAGCGGTTAAAAACAATAAACATTGATTGTTTCTCGTGGTTTTATGCACTTGCTGGGTGGCTGTCCTGGTCTGGGCCAGCTTGGCTGGGGCTGGAGGGTCTGGGATGGGCTTGGCTGGGCCTCTCTCCCTGTTCTCCAGAAGGCTTGCCCCAGCTTGTTCACATGGTGGAGAATGGTGCCCAGTGACAAGGGAGAGCAAGCATTTCTTCAAATATCTACTTCTGACATACTTACTGTTGTCCCGTGGGGCCAAAACAAATCACATGGCCAAACCAAGAGCCATGGGAGATTACCCCAGGGCGACAGAAGCCGGTCTGCAGTCTACTGCCACAGCCCAGGCCTGGTGCCATCAATCCCACCCCCCCTCCACTGACTGGACATGGATGGCTGTCTCCCCCACATGCAAAGGAGGAGGAACCAGGGGCCACTCTCCACCCAGGAGGAAAAGGAAATGGGAGCTGCGGTTGCCACAGCAGGTGGTGATTCTGAACAGTTCTGTGGTCCCTGCCACACCCCACGGCAGGGATGTGAGGGTGAGATTTCAGCTTCAGGTGCCCACAGGGCTGAGGAAACCCCACTCTGATTCCTTGGCATCCTCTCCAACCAGCAAAATGAACACATACCTCTTCCCCAAATGGGAAAACCGGCTGGTGTGACTCTCCCCTTGCTCTTGGTTGTGGGGTGGGGGTTCCCTCTGGGCTCTGTCCTGGTGCTTGAGGGGACCCTGTGGGCACCGTCGGCCTCCACCCTGTGACGTCAGCACAGCGCCGGGTTCTGGCGCCCCGGGGACCCTCTCTCTGAGCGCCCTTTGGTGCTCACGTGATCCTTACAGCAACATTCGGGGGCTTTCTCTAGTGCCCTGGGAGTTCTCTTTATTCGGCTGTTAGTGAAGGGTGCCAAAGTGCAAACATTTTCTAGGGAAACTTAACCAAAGGGGGCACTGCTTGGGGCTCGCCCCTTTCCTTCCTTCCTTCCTTCCTTCCTTCCTTCCTTCCTTCCTTCCTTCCCCCTCCCTCCCTTTCTTCCTTTCTCTTCTTTCCTATATATAATTTTTATTGAAATAAAAAGACAAAAAATAGTAAAAAAGTAAAATAGTAAAAATAGATAAACAGCAAGTTCATAATGTAGAGCACAGGGAACTATATTCAATACCTTGTAGTAACTTATGGTGAAAAAGAGTATGAAAACGAATATACGTGTGTTCAGGTATGACTGAAGCATTATGCTGTACACCAGGAATCGACACCTTTTCTTTAGGCTTTAAGCTACGAAGAAGCAGGATGGTTTCCAGGACCTCAATCCAGGGCATTTGGTATGGAGCCCTTTGCGCGGTGTCCTCCCTCCAGCCCTTTCTGCAGCAGGCAGCGTCTGGCAGCCACAGCCCCGAGCAGTGATGCATCCTCTCCCTCGAGGCACAGGGATGATGTAGCAAATTGGCTTCAGGGACTAGGCTGATCGTGGGAGCAGGCGAATGCTGGCTTGCCTTACTGCTTCTACAGCCCTGTTCATAAGTTACTACCAAGCGGTTAAGTTCACAAGTCAGCCTGACCTCCTCTGTCCCCAGGTCCAAAGCAAACGGACCTCCTCTTCCCCTTCCATACTGTCAAAAATAACCCCGCTATGGGCTGAAATTCTGTCCCTCCAACCCCTGCCACATTCATAAGCGGAAGTCCCGACCCCCACTACCTCAGACTGTAGCTGTATCTGGAGACACGGGTCTATAAAGAGATGGTTAGGTTAAAATCCGATCATATGGATGGGCCCTAATCCAACTCCAC